TTTCTCAGACGATAAAAACCCTTATTCTCGGGATTTTTGTCTTATCTGATCGTCCCAGGACGATCCCAACATCGGCCCGGACGATCTACTTCACAAATCAGCTTTTCACTGATCGTCCTGGATGATCTACATCGTCCCGGACGATCCTAGGAGGAAAATCAGATTCATAAAGGAAAAATCAAAGGAACGAGCTCTAACAATACCCTTAGTATTAAAGTTCCTATAGTGACTACTGATGAAGCTAATGATGTGAATGTTGATGCTAATGCTATTAATGATTCCCATTTGGTTGTTTCTAATGATATTGAAGCTGATGCATCTGTTAAAGTTATTTCTACTACTAAAAATGATCAAAGTGTTAATGTAGAAGTTGAAGAAGCATCAATCAGTTTGGTTGTGGCTGTTGAAGTTGATAACTGTCAAATTATCAAATCTGAAGCGGTATGTGTGAATTCTGATTCTCCTTCTCAAAAATTTGATTCAAAGATTGATCAAGTTTTTAATTCTAATTCTTCCTATTATTTGAAGCAGAATTCTTCAAATAATAAAATTAAACGTCGTAAAGAGCTGAGGCAATTAGGACCTATTGTTTCCAAAAAAAGGTCATTTATTGGGGATGGATCCACTATTATTAAATAATGCATTCTATGATCTTTTATATATGTAGAGGAGACCGTAAGAAGCAGTTGGGCTTCCATTTGAAGAAATTGATTAATCAACATGATGTTTTTTGTTGGTTTACTAGAAACCAAGATTGAAACTATTAATAGAGAAGATATAAATAAATTTATAGGTGATAATTGGTTGTTTTTTTATTCGCCAGCCATTGGAAAATTAGGAGGAATTTTAGCCATTTGGAACAAAAGGGTTGCTACCTTTTCTATCTTCTTATCTTCTTCTCAATGTATTTTGGGAAATCTTATATTGTCAAATTCATCTTGCTATAAGATAAACATTGTTTATGCTAATAAAGATGCTTATGTTAGAAGGCTTCTCTGGAAAGATATTGAAGGTTTCCTTTCTCCCAAGGAATCTTGTATCATAGGTGGTGATTTTAATTGTATTCTTTCATAGTAAGAGAAAAAAGGTGGTAAAAAGTTTTCTTTATCTCTTAGACCTCAGGAAATGAAGGATTTTATGTCTCTTAATGTCCTTCATGATATTCCCTTCATAGGTCTTCATTTTTCCTGGTGTAATAACAAGGATGGATTGTGTAGAATTTGGGAGAGGATGGATAGAATTTTGCTAAATTCCTCAGCTCTTCATTTAATCCACTTTGACGTTTCTAAGCATTTGGCGAGAATTTGCTCTGATCATTGTCCTTTGTTATTGAACTTGTCCAACGTGACTATGAAAACCCATAAATTTATTATATTTAAAAACTTATGGACTTCTTTTCTAGGTTCTTGGTATATTGTTTCCAACTCTTGGGGGAGGAAGGATTTTGGTTCTTCTCTAGAAATTTTACAAAAGAAGCTTAGTAGAACACTTAAATCTCTATTTTTTTGGAGTAAAAACAAATTTAGAGAGCTCTCTTATTAATCATTCTATCTTTTCCTTACAATTAAAAGAATCTCAATGTGGTTTTTCTAATGAAGAGCTTCTTGAATTAAGAATCGAGATCAATGAGCTGAATTCAAATCAAGCTAAATTAGTTACTTGGTGGAGGCAAAGAGCTAAAGCAAATTGGTTGGAGCATGGTGATTCAAATTCTTATTTTTTCTATTCTTATGCTTCATCTAGAAGAAATGCTAACAAAATTGTTCAAGCAAAGTTCTCGGATGGATTTATTTTTGATGATCCAACTTATATTTATGATATTTTCTCTCAGTTTTTTAACATGAAGTGGAGGCAAAGGCATTATTCTCTTGTTGATTGGCCTAAATTCAAAGTTGAGTATATGTTGGATTCAAATCAGCATCAACCTTTAGAAGCAGAATTTTATGTGGATGAGTTAAAGAATGTTGTCTTTCAAATGGGTTTGAATAAATCTCCAGGCCTAGATGGTATTTCCCCTGCTTTTTTTTAAATTCTATTGGGATATTATCAAAGTTGAAGTTTGGAATGCTATCAACTTATTTTTTCAATCTAAAGTCATGTCATCTATGTAGAAGGACACTCTTGTTATTCTTATACCCAAAGTAGATAATGCTTGTAAACCTTGCAAATGTATACCCATTAGTCTTTGTCAAACCACTTATAAGATTGTAGCTAGAATGAATCTAAATAGGCTAAATATTGTGTTACCAAATCTTATTTTTGAGGAGCAAGAAACCTATGTTCCTAATAGATCTATTTCAGATCATTGTCTTTTGGCACAAGAAGTTTTTCATAAACTTTGTTTCTCCAATTCCAAAAGGGGGTTTTCTCTTTAATAGGTTATATGGAACAAGCTTATTATAATATGAATTGGCAAACCTTGAAACAAGTTATGACTTTGATGAATTTTCCATCCAAGTTCATAAATTGGGTTATGCAATGTGTGATGTTTCCAAGAATCATGATGATGATTAATGGGTTTCTTACTGGCTGGATTCTTATTGAATGCGATTTTAGACAAAGTTGTCCCTTGTCTCCCTTCCTCTTCATTCTTTGTTATGAACTTCTTTCCAAAGCTTTTCAACAAATTGATATTGAAGTTGGAATTAAAATTTCTCCAAATGCAGAAAGAATTTATCATCTACTTTATGCATATGATGTTTTGATTTTTGCTAAATCTAAATCACATTCGTTAAAGCCTATTCAAGGTATTCCTGAAAGTATTGTTCTTGGACTGGACAATATGTTAACCGTAGCAAATCAATGATTCTTTGCTCCAAAAATATGATGAGAAGGAAGAAGAAAATTATTGTTGATCAAAGTGTTTTCAAAGTTGTTTGAGAATTAAGTTATCTTGGACTTCAATTTGTTCTAAGAAGGAAGATGATGGCAGATTTTCAAAACCTGATTAAGCACTCTCTTGATAAGTTGAATTCAAGGGAGAGTAGATTTTTATCCATTGTTGAAAGAGTAACTTTAATCAACTCATCTCTTCTTACTCTTCGAACATACTTTATTACTCTTTCTATAGTTCCCAAGGGTATTCTGATTGAGCTTGACAAGCTGAGCAGGAATTTTTTTGGCATAAAGAGAATGGTAAGCAAGGTATGCATTACATCATCTGGACAAAACTTTGCCTTCCTACCAGAAATGGAGGTCTCAGTTTTCACTCAGCCTTGAGTTGGGAAGGACCTATAAGAGCTAAGCTTTCTTGGAACTTCATTCAAAAGCCAAATTTTTTAGTTAACAGAATTTTTAGAGCTAGATATGGTGACAACATTTGGACTTGATCTCAAAAGTGTAATTCTGATTCGTGGAAAATCTTATTGGATGGAGCAAATAACTTGAAGCCAATTGTTAGATGGAAGATTGGTAATGACACTAAAATCAGTATCCTTAATGATACATGGATTGGAGACAAACCAATTTGTAAATGGCCAACCTTTGTCAATGCATACTTATTGGAAGATTGTTCGGTAGACTTACTTCTTTCTAAAAGTAAGTATTGGGATCATAATATTTGTAAATATGTATTTGGTGAAGAATTAACAAGTGTTATCAAGCAAGTCCAGCTGGATTTGAGACAAGAGAAAGATGAATTACAAAGAAAAATTCAAGATGTTTGATGTGGATGACATCAAATGGTTGAGAAAAATTAAATTACATCCCAGAATGTTTTTTTTTTTTTTGGTGGAGACTCAAGAAAGATGCTCTTCCTACTAATTCTTGGCTGAATTATAAAAGATTTCAAGTATTAAATCAATGGCCTAGAGGTTGTTGTCTTGAAGAAGATATTAATCATATTTCTATTTCCTATAAGAAGCTTATTGAGGTCTTCAATGCTTTGAAAGGTTGGGGGAATTCATATCCCGACATTTCATTCAATTTCAGATGTGGAATAATTTAAAACTATTTCTACCAAGAATGTAGTATTGACTAGGATCTATTGATGTTCGGTTTTCTATTGTTGGAAGGATAGAAATGCCTTGAAGCATGGTAAACCATCATTATCTTGTACTTTTCTTTTAGCTGAGATCCTTTCTAATGCAATCAAGCCATTCTTAAATCCTATTTTGGAGAACTAGGATGCTAATCAATTTGGAAAACTAAATTGTAAATTTTGGCATCCTCCACCTCCAAAGTAGATCAATTTAAATGTTGATGCTTTTTTATTGAGCTCGAACCTGTCTGGAATCGGAGGTGTTGTTAGAGATGAAAAAGGAAAATTTCTTGTGGCTTTTGGCAAATAACTTTATCATTGGGATGTTACTCAATTGGAGCTTTTGACAATCCTCTCCTTAAAGGATGTTCTTCAAGATTGGATGGTTGAATCTGAAGGCATTTTCATTGAAGGACACAACATCAACGTCATTAAGCTATTGCATAAATCTTTGATTAATAATGTAAATTCTTCCTCTTTAGATTTATCTTTTCTTTATGATTTTAAGCGGATTATTTTTCATTATATTTCTAAAGAGAATTGCAAATTTTTGTGCAACCTATGTTTTAAAAAGTAGCTTCTTTTGGAACTTTTTTCATAATGATCTTCCTTCTCTTTTTATCGGTTTGTTAAAGGAAGATTGTGATAGCTTAGCTATCTCTTAGATTATATTTCCCTTTTTTTAAAAATAAAATATGCTATATGCGTTTCTTACACAAAACAAAAAAAAAAATTTATCAATTCATTTACAACCTCTATCTCTAATATTACCTCTTGCTGTGAGTATAAAAATGAAAATAACATTGTTTTGTTGCATTTTATTCTTTATGCAACCAAACAATTAAAACAAATAACATTCAATATATTTAATATTCATTGTTGCTAGAAATTATAAATTATATTTTCAACAATAATAAAAAAATATTAAATGTCATTTAATTAAATATAATTATTGATTTCAAGCTCCACAAATTATCCAAAAATTCTCAAACATAATAATTTTTTTTCCAATCAAAACAAGAAAAAAATAAAATATTTTTCATACAATTTTTAGCTACAAATAGACAAACAAACCAACCCTCATTGAAATTTACTCCCAGAAGGTCGCTTGTGATTATCAGAGCTTACAACTAGAAAATGTAACTACTGCAGGATTGGCCACAAAAGAAATGCTTAAATCTAGTCGTCTTATACATTCATTGTTACAAGCTGAAGTGGCTTTGTTAATCTTTACTGTCGACACCATGATAGTTTAGCTGAGAAAGGGGAGCTGTTCTATGATAAAAAATTTTGTATTTTACAGAGCCCCCTTTTCACATTCAATAATAATGATAAAAGGAGTTCAAGATCCAAATCTTACATCACATTGAAAGGAACAAACGGCTCATTCTCAATCAACCAGTTGATCGCAGAACTGGCATCTCCATTCAGACCATTACCTGAAATTTATCAAGAGTAAGATGAACAAAGTTAATTAATGGCTGAACTGAGGAATTTATAACCATACTACTTGCCCTTATTAAACTATTCAACAAGCGAGTTAAAGAACAAACCCAATGGAGTGTAAGTTGGTAAGCTAATGCGTCTGGGGCATGATTTGCTTGAGCTAAATGTGCTGCTGGTTCCGATGCCAGAGCCAATATAGCAGTCTCGAGGCTTGAGATAATTTGAAACAGTTAAAATACATGGATAAGAGATAATTCAGCACAAAACAAACAAGAAAAATGGCATGCTTGAAGCCTGTAACACTTAAAAAAGCTGTGTTACTTAGCACAATTGCAAGAACCAAATGCCTATTGCGAGTAGTGGAGGATCTCTTAAACACAATTCAACTATAAAGATGGGCATCAAAATTTTTAAAATGTTTCTCTGTATCTATTGATGTATAGACACGCTTGAATCAGAGATTTAGTCAGAGATTAGCGCATGGAATTACTTGAATTGGTTGGCATAAAAAGAATGTAAGAATATAGGATTTTATGAGGAAGAAGTTGATGAAGATTCTTGGTACAAAAGTTCACCTGTCCTTTTTTTTAATGAGAAATTATTAGAACATATGAGAAGAGTATTGGACTACACGGCTGTACACTTAGTATATAGTGAATACTGTCCTCCTACGGGTTTAGTTGAATGCATGCACACCATAGCTTATTGTGTGTACTTCGACGAGCTATTGCATTCCAGTGTGCCTTCCTCTTGCATTTCTTAGTCTCATCGAGCCCAAAATCTGTCACCCTAATGGTACACTTTAAGTTCAACCTAGGATCATTGCAACATAGCAAAGGTTGCCCTTCGATGACCTAGCTCTCCTGACATACCCGGCATCTTAGATGTCTTATTGTCTACATCTAGCTCCCCTCTATGTGGAAATCATATTCTTCATCATTACCTGATGCTTCTCCTTTTCTTTATTTCCGAGTTTGATGCTTTCTGGCATTCAAGATTATGAAAATCAGATCGGAAATAGAACAAAAAGAAGTTCAAGGTTCAATTGTTAAATCAAGGCAGGATCTGATGATGTAATAAATATTAAAATTATTTAAATAACATCTAAATGATATAGTCATGATATAATAATTATGCAATAATATAAATTTATGACTAAAAAATAAATAAAATTCATGAACAAATAAATATTTTACAAATTTTAAATTTAAACATATTCAATTTTAAATTTAATTCACATATAAGTTATAAATTTAGTATAAAAATTACTAATTTATGATATATATTTAGATCTATAAATTATATACAAAATATATATTATAAAATTAAATCTATAAATTCATGTTAGATCATTTCTAATTAAAAATATATAAAAATTAATTTTTTTATCATATAATTAAATAAATAAAGAGTTAAATAGATAAAAAATTAAATATAACTAAATTAAAAAATAAATATTATTCACATTCTAAATAAATGAATTGAAAAATGTGTTAAAATTTTTAGTGTCTGTGTTTTGAACTTGAAAGCTTTATCTTGGTTAGTCTCATATCACTTGGGCGCTATGTGTTAGCACTGTTTATATAACCTTTTTTGTTCACATGATTAGATAAGCCACATAAGATGGTGGGTTCGTGTGATAAAGCTTGATTGGTGCTTATTTGACAAATAATTATTATTAAAAATGAATGCTTCTTTTAAAATTAAAATATATTAAGTTTAAATTAAAGTTAAATATTTTATATTTTATTCAATAAATTAATTTATTTGATTATATAAATGATTCAATAAAGAAATTGGTAGATTTGTAGATAACAAGTACTAGTTTGTCAGTTAACTAATCGAACTAGCAGTTCAATGTGGTTCAACCCTATTTGTTGTGAAAAGAGTTTTGGAATTTTACCGGACCGGCCATTAAACCGGTTCTCGGTTCGACCTATTCAACTGCCAGTTCGATCCAATTTTTCCAACCTTTCTGACATTAGCGTAAAGGATCAGCCTCGTGCTTCGTTTCTTCCCATTGATCTTTCTAAGAAGAGTACTATGTAAACTTTATTTAAATTTATAATTTTGACATTAGGAATAAATAATCCACATTGATCTTTCTATCAATTATTTATTTATGATTCATGAGCTTAATTCATTTAATCTTTGAAAAAATTAATATAATTCAATTTTGGTTTCATTAATTTTCCAAAAGCAAAAATCGAACCAATAATAAAAAATATAGTAAAGTCAAAATTATAAATCAAACTAATAATTCAATCATTGAACCATTACCAACAACAAGCATTTATCCCACTATTGCATGGGATCAGCTACATTCCACTTTCCTTGTTATTCTATTAAGAGTCAAATTTTCATTTAAATTTAATAAAAAAAAAATGTCCTAGTCTTTTTAGATATGTATTTGATAATTCAATCAAACAAACCAAAAAAGATTAGTTTGATTTGTTTTTTTTTTAAACCAAATGATGCACGCTCCTAGGCATGACCATTTTTTTTCACTTTTATTGGTAAATTCACCATAGTTTACATATTATTTTCATTTAATTGGTTTTGTTGGACTTCTTGACCTTCATAATGTGCTTATTAATTTTTCTTTCACTTTTATTGGTAAATTCACCATAGTTTACATATTATTTCATTTAATTGGTAATTTTTTGTTGGACTTCTTGACCTTCATAATGTGCTTATTAATTATTAGAAATGATTTATTCTAGACCTTTTATCATAGACCATACTATGTTAATGATCTTTCTATCCATACACAGAAGTGTTCTCCCATATTTTTATACTTATGAGGATCCCCTATTACCCAGTATGGACAATTTTCCCTCATCAATGTATTCACTTCATTAACCAATCGACTCAATACTGTTCTTGGTTCTGAGCTGATGAAGAAATATAAGTGGATGTGCTACCGTTAGACTCTCTAGATAGACTACCGTCAGAGTTAATATTGAAATTGACGTTTCTACTTCTTTGGACGAGAAGTTTGAAATGGCACTTCATTATGTGGTTACCGAGAAAAAGTACAATTCAAGGGCTTGTAAAACTAACTTGACGTGGAGTCAAAAGGTTTATCAATAATTAATAAAATCTTCCTGGAACATGAATGTTTTGGTAGCTAAAACACTCATCCTGAATTAAGGAAATATTTCGCTAGGGGCTCCAATAAAAGTGCTAATGATAATGATCATGATATAGACTCATAAGATTTATGTGTACTAAATACAAATGATCAAATTGAATCTACCAACTTATTGGACATTGTTTCCCCTACCCTGCTCCCCTAGATTGCAATTAAGCAATGGAATTTATTATTGCTTCTACTTTTGAGTCCAAGCCTTCCAAAGCTGCTCGCAGTTTGATGGTTGTCAGCATTCATCTTGCCATCTCTATTAGAGGATAAGGATGATGTACCAACAGTTGCAACTTCAAGAGCCAAGTCTACAAAACCTAGTTTCCGCCCTATTGAGAGTGATACTCCTATTTAAAATATCATTATTCTTTTCAGCTTGCCAGCTACTGCACCCCCTGTTACTCATGGTCATATTCTAAAAGAAGTTGATGGTGATTCATGCTCAAATTAGTGTCAATATTCTATTAGATAATTCCGAAGTTTCAAAAACCGAGTGGATAAAAGGTTTCAGAATTTGTTTTCTAGAAGTAAAAATAAGGAAAGTATTACCACAAATTTACAAAATTCTAAACAATGACAATAATCCACCTAATGTCTTCCTCATTCTAATCTAGGAGGAGATAATTAGATATGATTGAAAGGCTTGCTCCTCGCCATCTACAACAACAACATAAAGCCTTTATCCCACTATGTGAGGTCAGCTACATGAATCTTTTTTCTCCATTGTGTCCTATTAAAAATTAAATTCTCATTTAAATCTAATAAAGAAAAGTCGTTTCTAATATTTTCTAACCAAATCTTCATAGGTCTACCTCTACCTCTCTTAACATAAGTCAAATCTAATACATCTATTTTCCTAACCGTCGTCAGAAGGCCGCTGTTTTATGTGACCAAACCATCTAAGGCGACTCTCTCTATCTTATCTTCCACTGGAGCTACGCCAACTTTTTCACATATATGTTCATTTTGTATCATGTCTCTAAGAGTAAAGCCACTCATCCACTTGAGCATCCTCATCTCTGCAACACTTATCTTAATATTATGCTTCTCGTTTAATGGCCAACATTCTGCACCATAAGCATTGCACGTCTAACCACCATCTTATAGAATTTTCACTTAAGCTTGAGGGAGACTTTTCTATCACACAACAAACCCAATGCATTCCTCCATTTCAACCATCCAACATGAATTCTACTAATAATCTTGCCATCTATTTCACCATCACTCTGAACAATAGACCCAAGATATATAAAACATGTACTCGTATTAATGACTTGATCATCCAAAGTCTCAATCCTCCCACAAGAACTATTATTACTAAAATTACACTCAATATATTTAGTTTTAGATCTGCTCAAACGAAAGCCTTTAGACTCTAAGGTGGACCTTCATAATTCAAGTTTACCTTCAACTACCTCTCTAGTCTGATCAATAAGAAGAATATCATTAGCAAAAAGCATACACCAGGCTACAACTCTTGCAAATGTCAAGTGAGAAAATCCATGACTAAAGAAAAAAAGATATGAGCTTAAGGCTGATCCTTGATGTAATCCAATTGAAATAGGAAAATACTCGATCAATCCACCTTGTGTCTAAACACAAGTAACAACTCCTACATACATATCCTTAATGACTTGAATATAAGCATTATTAACCCATTCCTTTTCTAGAACTCTCCATAGCACTTTTCTTGAAACTTTATCATATGCTTTCTCTAGATCAATAAAAATCATATGTAAATCCTCCTTATTCTCTCTATACTTCTCCATCAAACCTCTCAATAAATGTATAGTTTCCATAGTAGACCCACCCAACATGAATCCAAATAGATTTTGAGAAACATTGTGATATCACATTGCAACTTATGCTCTATAACTCTCTCCCATAGTTTTAAAGTATTAATTCACACAATTTTATGAATCACCTTTATTCTTAAAAATAGGAATCAACACACTCATCTCCGCTCATCTGGTATCTTTTTAGTTTTCAAAATAATATTAACAAATTTAGTAACCCAACGAATTCCTTGATCTCCTAAGCATTTCTACACCTCTATTGGAATATCATCAGGCCCAACAACTTTTCCACACTTCATTTTCTTTATAGCCTCTCTAACTTTGGGTTTACTAATATGCCGATAAAAATAAAAAAAAATTCTTTATTTTCATTTAGGATGCTAACGTCACTATAGTCAATCACATTCTCATAATCTTCATTGAAGAGTTTATAAAAATATCTCATCCACATTTGTTGAATATCCTCTTCTAATAAGTGCACTTTTTGATCTTCATCCTTAATACACTTCATTTGAACTAAATCCTTACTATTTTTTTCTCTTTGTTTTCCTAACTTATACATATATCTTTTATCATCCTTAGTATCTAATCTATTATATAAATAATTAAACGCTAAAATCTTTGCATCGCATATTGCTTTTTAAGACTCCTTACGGGTCTCTTTATATCTTTCTCAATTATCAAAAGTTTAACATCTAAATCAATTTTTATAACAACTCTTCTTATTTTTTTATATTTTCTTGCACATTTTGATTCCAACACAACTATTTTTACTATTAGGATCTTTTCCCTTTGATACTTAAAGCATATCTTTTACAACATTTTTAATATCACTAGCTAAATTTTCTCACATAACATTAGCTTCCTCATGCACAAATAAAATCTTAAGATCTAGATGGATATAATTTCCTTAGTTTCCATGTTATTGTGATCCAATGCATTTTGTTTCCATGCCTTACTGGTATTAGTATTTTGTAACTGCTTTTTTATGTAAAATTTCACAAACTGGTGGCAAAAATGTGATACAACAACAAGTCTTTATCCCACTACATGGGGACAATTGTAGAATCTTTTTTCTCCCTTGTGTTCTAATAAGAGTCAAATTCTCATTTAAAACTAATAAAAAAGTCATTTCTAATATTTTCTAATCAAACTTTTTCTAGGACTACCTCTATATTTCTTAACATAGGTCAAACCTAATACATTTACTCTCCTAATCGGGTCATCTGAAGGTTGATGTTTTATGTAATCAAGCCATCTAAGGCGACTCACTTTAATCTTATATGTCATTGGAGCTACTCTTACCTTTTCACATATATACTCATTTCGCATTAAGTCTCTAAGAGTAAAGCTGCTCATCCACCTGAGCATCCTCATCTCTGCAAGACATAATTTTATGCTTTTCTTTTACTGGCCAACATTCTACCCCATAATTCAAGGATGATGGTATAGAATTTCTTGCAAAATTTAATTTTGTTATTTTTAATTGCATTAGTAGAGAGTGCAATAAGTTAGCAAACTTATGTGCTAACTATGCTTTAGTAAGTAACTTTACTTGGGATGATTGCTCTGTGAATAAGGTTCCTCCTCCTTTTTTTAGCATTTTGAAGGAGGAATCTAAATTGTAGTTGCTCTTTGTTTTTAATAGTTAATTTAGCTTCGGCTTTTTTCAAAAAAAAAAAAAAATCTGCCCCATAAAGCATTGTAGGTCTCACCAACATCTTATAGAATTTTCACTTAAGTTTGAGGCGTACTTTTCTATCACACAATAGGTTTGATGCATTCCTCCACTTCAACCATCCAACTTGAATTCTACAAACAATATCCTCATCTTTTCCACCATCACTTTGAACAATAGACCCGAGATATCTAAAGTGAGTACTCTTATTAATGACTTGATCACCCAATGCAACAATCCCCCACTTGATCTAGCACTACTAAAATTACACTCCATGTATTCGATTTTAGATCTACTCAAATGAAAACCTTTATACTCTAAGTTTGACCTCCATAAATCATGTTTACCTTCAACTCTCTATCTAATCTTATCAACAAGAAGAATATCATAAGAAAAAAATATCACTAAAGTCAATCGTATTCATATAATCTTTAATTAAATGCTTATCAATTAATTAAATGCTTATCAAAATATTATGCACCACTGAATATGATATTCCAAAGTTTAAGGTTGAATTATAACCTTAAATTTTTTGTCAAAGCAAAGTTGAAGTTCCTCCAAGGAACCTCGTCTGCATTCCAACAGAGGCAGTGCCCCAACAGCTTTCTTGATTGCAGAAATGATGTCTTCAACAGAATATGTTTCAGCATTGCTAGCCAAAATACCTTCATTGCTCAGAATTTTCTGCAAGCAAAAGAAAAACGAAATGACAAGATAATCAAAATGAATATTCATGCAAATTTATTTTTCCCGGAACAGAATGCTTGTTGAATGAGAAACTAACTAAGCTCAGCTCTCATTTAGTAAATAAGTAAGAAAATAATGCTAAATAATTTAATCAGTTTTAGCATTTAGATTCCATAAACAGGATAAACATTTAAAATTTAACAAAGGGTTTCTTTTTATTTCTACAAGCACTTCTGATGATAGTTAAGTTGTTGGATGAGCTATATGAAGCAGTGGTATTCACGAAGATGAATCTGAAGTCTAGATATCATCAGATCAAGATTCCATAAACAGGATAAACATTTAAAATTCAACAAAGGGTTTCTTTTTATTTCTACAAGCTCTTCCGATGATAGTTAAGTTGTTGGATGAGCTATATGAAGCAGTGGTATTCACGAAGATGAATTTGAAGTCTAGATATCATCAGATCAGGATGAGAGAGGAGGATGTCCCGAAGATTGCATTCAGGACACATGAGGGACACTACGAGTTCTTGGTGATGCCGTTTATTGGCCTCATCAACATCCCTGCTACATTCCAGTCCCTCATGAACAGGATGTTCCGACCATACCTCGGAAGATTTATATTGGTTTTATTTGATGACATCCTGGAGTATAGCTGGTCGAACGAGGAGCATTTGGAGCACTTGAAGGTAGGACTACAGCTGGTCGAACGAGGAGCATTTGGAGCACTTGAAGGTGGTGCTGGAGGTGTTATAGGAGCATTAGCTACAGGCCAACCAGAAGAAGTGTTGATTTGCACAATCCAGTATGGAGTACTTAGGGCACATGGTATTGAGGGTAGCTAATCAGGCCAAGATTGAGGCTATGTTGAAATGACCGCTACCTAGGACCCTGAAAGAGTTTAGGGGTTTCCTATGGTTAACTAGATTTTACATGAGGTATATATTTTTCATATGCACCCAACCATGCTTCTAGCATATAAACTTGTGTATATGTTGTATTAATTGAAACCCTAATTCTAAGTTGCAGTCAGGGCATGTTTGCATAAGATACCCATCACATTGAATTTTCTGTACAAATATGTCTTCTCTCAAAAATCAACATCATAAATAAGATAATCATTTAAGACATGTACTTCAAATTGACAAATGGGATAGATGATCAATTTTTTAGCTTTATTCAAGGGTTCCTCTAAAAAATTTTTGATTTTCTTCGCAAATAGTTTTAGAATTTGCAACAATGGCACATCAAAAACTTCAACAAAATAGTTACAAGATAAGAGCATGTACTATTGATAACATTGTTGAAGCTATTTGAAACGGTAATCATCAAGTTGTATCCATGCACAATGAAGAAAACATGAGCCCATCTCTCAAAGCCAATTTCATCTTCTAGTCCCCAACTATAGTTAGGTTTTGTACTCATATTTTGTCAAAGTATCTATAAAACTCAACTCTTATGTAAGCTTTATAAAGCAAGTGATTTTCCTCATGAAAACTATTGATTTTGAATTTTTTTCTGGATATTCATTGCAAAATGATATGTGTAAGCTCTGTGGTGTGCCCCTAAAAATATTGTGGATAATGCACTAGCAATATTGTTATATCTATCAAGGACACACGCTTAAGTTTTTTTATTGTGCCTATTGACTCCCTTAGTCTAGTCTTGAAATACATAAACAAATCCTCATCTTAAGAATCAATAACTGCAAATGCCATCGTGTAAATTAGAGTGTTAGCATCTTGTGGCATAAGCAAAATGAATCCACATGTATTAAAAAATGTTCCATTCACAGTTAATATGGAGGGCATGCACCTTTGAAGCATTGAATACAAACACCTAAAAAAAATTAAACATACTTGAAGCATCATACAACAACAAGCCTTTTTCCCACATACTTTAAGCATCATACAACAGCAAAAATATCAAGCCTTTATCCCACTAAGTGGAGTCGGCTACATGAATCCTTTTTCTACATTGTGTCATGTTAAGAGTCAAATTCTCATTTAAATCTAAAAAAGAAATGTCATTTCTAATATTTTCTAACCACGTCTTTTTAGGTCTACCTCAACCTTTCTTAAGGTAAGCCAAATCTAATAAATCTATTTTCCTAACCGGGTTATCGGAAGGCCGCCGTTTTATGTGATAAGTGTCATGAAATGTAAAATTGAAAATGAACAATTGTCCATGAATTCTTCCTATTTAGCATAACTAGATATGATGGTAATTTCAGAAGGATACTTTGGGGGACTTTTATATCAGTGATAGCTTGCTTACAACGCTGCTAAGCCTTCTCTTATGATAATTAATATCATAGTCCCTCTTTATATCTAAAATAATCATCTTTGGATTCAAATTAGAGTTAGATCTGATGAGCTTCTTCTTGATTATATGTCCAATAAGATATTATTGAGCTTGTCGATGGTCTTTCAATCTGACATTCAAGATGCAGATTATTTAGATTCATTGCTCCTCTGATCTCAAACATATTTTATTATGTCAACCTCTAAGCCCATAAGCTCCATGAGTTTCACGGGCATTCAACAGATAACCAACATCTTTCTTGGATTTATTTACCTTGAATTGAAAGTATTTTTCATTGCATAAAACTGTAACATTAAAATAAGCATAATTTTAAAAAAATAATTATTTTTACGTTGGCCGCGAGTTCAATCATATGGAGTCACACAAATTTTAACAATTATTAGGACTTGAAGCATCATAGAATAAGTTCGAATGATGCATGTTCATCATTATTATCGCAATTGTCATCAGAACTATAATTATTTTATTTCTGCATGTTTATTTGCTTGATGTTATGTGTTGGGACATTATTTTCTTTTGTCTACTGTATCATGGTTATGTAACACTAACGACATGATTGTTTTGTGCTGTTTGGATCAGTAGTTGCTGCCATTAGAGCTCTCCAAATTTTCTAAACAAACAAGGGCTGAGCAAATTATTCGAAAAACTTGATTACTGATTATTAAAAGCATGGTTGCTTCCTAACATCTCTCTCTCTCTCCCTCTTTGCATGTCAACCTCTTTCTTTTTATATTTCTACAACACTTCATCTCTCTCTACTATCTCTAGAAGTCAATGGGAAGCAAAGGCGATAAAGGGTTTGATTCTGCAGCATTTATCTCTTACATTAACACGAAAATTCTATAATAAAACACTAATAAAACCCAACCAAGCTAAATTCCAAGCACATTCATTTGGTCATATAATCATAATGCGTCATTAATATACAATTAATTCAAACATTACTAACCGTAATGTTATACTTGAAATAAAGATCAAGGGCCACGGAGAAGTAGCTGTATTCATCTAATATAACAGGATATGAGCATGTCCCGTGCTTTTCTGCAAAAGAAAGAAATAGAAGAATAAATATTGTAAAAAAACATTCAATGTGAAAGCATGTTTGAACATTGCTTGTAATTCTGTCAAGCGGACACAACGCTTGGTAAACAGGCCATGGTTAGTCTTCTGTGCATTACCTTATGCTCCCTATTTTTCTTCTATAAAACACTCGCCTATTCTTGAGTATGCTTACTAACGTACCATAAAGGCACAATGCAAGGCTAAAAACAATTCCACCTAACAAACATCAATTCATGGACTGCCACTTATGCTTGCGACTGCCAATCTGTTAAAATAACTTTTGCAAAAGCAATCCTATTGGATTTTAAACTTACACTTCCACAGTTTTTTTCTCAGTGGAAATCTCCAATGGTTATTTTCATCTGGAAATTGACTTTTAAGCCAGTTTCTATTCAGATAGAGGAATATTTGGCGTATGCTGTCACTTAAAAATACCATAAACATTTAAAAAAAGTTAAGAAAGTTTACCCCACTGCTCATCCAGCATACAAACACCAGGTGGCCACCAAAAAATACAAAGTTTGTCAGGCTCAAGATAGGTAATAGAAAAAATTACGAACTTACAAGTCATAAATACCTCATGGGCCCAAAACAACCCTTTGCCACCATGGCAAAGAGATGGAGAACCGCAACTTAAGGATGGCCAATGTTTCTGAAGCTCTGGCATAAGAGATGAGATCTGACAGACAAATAAAAAACATAGCAATGGGCATATAAAGTAGTTAGGCACAGTTACATGACACTTCAAGCTAAGAAATATGAACTTTGGATGAAAACAAACAAACAGAGCATCACCTTCTTAATACTAAAATCAGAGTTTCTACAGCATGATGGGTAGTGCCCGTCATTATAATCTGGCCAAAGCCCATCTGTTAAATGAGGTTTAAATAAAATATCAGTTTATTGAATCAAGAAAAATTAGCAGTTCGAATTTGAAAAAGTACATAACATGTTTTTAATATTTTACTATCCTATTTGAAGAATTTTCTTTCTAAACATCATTCTTTATGGCTTAGAAATAAACCAAAAAGAACAATCATCTGCAAAAATGTCGGGTAACAATAATGCACTTTCCACAAATCATATGCCATCATCATTACATTTTATCAAGTAAATTATTTTTGTTAGACCAGACCGCATATGGGTGAGACCCACATAAATACTCAAGGAATGCCAATTCAAAACAATTTAGCATTAACTAATATTGAAAAAAAAAAAACCTAGTAATGATGAAGACCCATAGTAATATTAAGTTTTTCTCAAATTTTTTTTTGTTCAATATATTCTCAAGTTAGAGGCACTCTTAGGGGATACGTTAAGGTTCTTCAAGTAATGAGATGGTAGCTTTTACTTGACAGCAGTATTGACTGTCATCTGCATAAACTCCATGAATAGTGCCAACTGCCAAGAAAAGCTTTGGAGCGATTCCAAAAAACTGGTGAGGATCGAACACAGCATAATAAGTTTTTGAGGTTCTTTCTAGCTGTGAGGTTATAGAGATAAAATAAGAGAGAAAGGGGTTAGAAAAAGAGAGGGGTCCGGTAATCCTCTTACAATAGAAGAGAGAGAAGAGAGAAAGAAAGAGAGATTCATCCAATCATGTTCCTTGTTTCAATTGTATCTTTATATTCCTTCATGATATAATATCCATCTATATATTATAAGGTTTTGCATGATTAGAAACAAGGTACAAAAAATCCCACCTAGTAATTGGGGTATTAATCAAATATAGTCATATTTTCTTCAAATCAAATATTTTCTTTCATCACAAATAATTAAAAGTAATTATACTACAACAACAACAACAACATTAAGCCTTTGTCCAACTACGTGGGGTCGGCTACATAAAACCTTTTTCGCCATTGTGTCTGGTTAAAAGTCAAAGTCTCATTTAAATCTAATAAAGAAAGATCATTTCTAATATTTTCTAACCAAGTCTTTTTAGGTCTACCTCTACCTTTCTTAACATAAAATCAAATATAATACCTCAACTTTCCTAATCGGGTCATCGGAAGGCATCCGTTTAATGTGACCAAACCATCTAAGGCGACTCTCTCTAATCTTATCTTCCGTTGGAGCTACTCCAACCTTTTCACGTATATGCTCATTTCGTATCCTATCTCCAAGGGTCAAGCCACTCATCCACCTAAGCATCCTCATCTCTGCAACACTTAACTTAGTATTATGCTTCTCTTTTAATGGCCAACATTCGCACCATAAAAGCATTGCAGATCTCACCACCATCTTATAGAATTTTTCCTTAAGTTTGAGGGGGACTTTTCTATTGCACAATAAGCCCGATGCATTCCTCCACTTCAACCATCCAACTTGAATTCTGCTGATAATATCCCCATCATTCACCATCACTCTAAACATAGATCCAAGATATCTAAAACGTGTATTTCTTATAATGACTTTGATCGCCTGTGGGCTCCGAAAATTCGTCCCCGGCCTCCGCTCGTTTTTCTTATTCGGCGAGGGAGTTTTAACGAACTAAGTTCCGAGGTAAATTTTGGAAGGGCAGATGGGTTTGTAGATAAGACACTACCCAGAGATTTCGCCCTCTTTTGTGAGGACTTTATGATCTGAGTTCTGGTTTCCTATAGGCGCAAGCCCCTATAGTTAATATACCCCTCTCGATCACGAGAGGAACTTTCGATTAAGGCTAGTCGTCAATCAGATACGTATAGAATATACGTGTTATCTGGCATATAGTAGCAGCAATGGATTTAGATATTGGCAGAAATTGGATTTGGAAATTGGGTTTTGAATTTGGGAATTCGGAAAGGATTGAAAAGGTTGATATTTAAAATATGAAATTTCACCACCTAGCACTTAAAGCGGATGGTGGGGGAATGAATGATGGGCCCGATCAAGATCCCATGGTTCCGTCATCCCGGGCCATCGTGGTCCCTGTCTACTTAGTCAGAGGAAGGTAGTCGACCCAACCTGACAGAAGGATCCTTGTCGGCAGCCATGGGTTGCTTCGTCCAAGGAGGACCTGTAGACCGGGGTTGAATGTTTGTCTAAGGGGACAAATTTGAATCCACCTTAGCTGACAGAGGGCTTTGTGCCCTATCGATCATATCCTATTGATTCATATCTCAAGGATTTAACGCCATTAAGGAGCGTATTGGCTCTGGCCATAACCGCTATCTGTGGTGCCATTTGGCGGCAAAACACTCGGTTCAGAGGGCCCCGGGTCATAACCGTTTACCTGCAGTGCCATTTGGTGCGAAACTGCGGTTAGAGGACCGTACCACGCCCTTACTGGCAAGAGATTGTTTGAGAATGGATCCTAGTGATATTTTCGACTAGGCATTTGGCTCTTTGTGAGCTAGAGTTTATTCGAATTTATCCGCCTCGACAAACTGTTGCGGAGGCGAATGGATTTTGCTTTAACTGCGTTGATGGATTTATTCAATTTAAATATTTTTGGGATTTTGGAGTTTTGAGATTTTTCTGGATTTTTGAGAAGCTTTTGGGTATTTGGGTGGAATTTAAAAGTATTTGGAGTGGACTTTGGATATTTTGAAGATATTTGAAAATATTTGAGAAACCCCTCCGGTTGAGATCTGCATTCAACACGGCCATCATCGGGGTGTTTGGGGTCATTTTTCTTTATGGACTGAACCTTGTCTACTCTGTCGGGCTGTCGACAGAGGATCGGGTTTCGTAGGCTTTTTGTCCTCGTAAGTGAATTCTTTTTGTTATAGGCCTTAAAGGCCTGATATGAATGTATTAAAACAAATATACTGGTCATCTCAACCGTGTATTTGTTTGAAAGTTCGAATCTTGTCGACTCCTATTGATCGTAAGAAGGATGGGTTCGAACAAGAATTCACTTGTCACCCGCGGCAGCATCCCTAGACGTCACGTGTGTACCAATAACACGCTCGCCGGGGCCCTTGCGGGTTTAGAATTGTATTTTACCCCTTTTAGTGTACCTATGTGTATACAATTATAGTGCAGATGCAGGGTATTTTGGAATAGACGCCTTCTGTTCTGCTTGTACGGTGATTGCAGATCCGGTGGCGTAGCAGCTTCTGAATAGAATTATTCGCTGCTTCGTACAGGTAGACTGTCGTGCACTATTTGTTAATTTTTGTAGGCGGACCCTAGTGCACTAACAATCTCCTGCCTTGTATTGGTAGACGCTCGTAGATAGCTTGTTGTATGCAATATGAGTTTCCTACTGCAACTCATAAGCACTTGCACTTGATATATTCACTTTATATCTTGCTCGTGGACCATAGGCTGGGTGTACTACGAGTCTTCTATAGTGGCCAGTGGATATTTGCATATGATGTATATCATCCAGTGTTTTACTTGCATATGACATGTTGTGTATTCGATGGGGCTCCAATAATAACATGCAGATACTTGTATTCGCTATGATCATTTGGTGTTTGGCTCGTGGATGACATCTTGAACATGTAGCGGGTCTCTTCATCAGCTTGCAGGAGCTCCTATCTGCTACAATTCTCTTCTGTACTTACTCGTAGATGGCTCTTTGTACGTGTAACAGGTCTCCTAAGATAATTCATAGGAGTTCAAATTTTCCACCAACCTCTTCATGCACATTGGTTGGTAAGGTACTACATTCTTTGTGATTATATTTGTTTGATTGTGAACATGATTGAAATGTTCATTGATGTGTGCATATGTATCTTCCTCTTCCTTATTACTTGTGAATGAGATATAATAGGGACCTTCCTTGTCCACTATACATCTTTGTGTGCTCACTGGTATCCGCTTGAATGATCAACATTTGTTTATTGAATCTCTATATTTTGATTGTTGATTTGAATGTTCTCCAAAAGTTTCTTGTTGATGATTGCTTGCAAATTCCTCTTGAAACTTTGCTTATTACAAGCATTGTGTCCATTCATCGGTGTTCAAATAGTCCCATGCTATCTTATAGAGTCTAAGTCTTCGTTGTAGTTCATTTGCAAATTCAGGTGTGAGTTCAATTCAGCTTCATTGTTCAATTTATTTGAGTTCAAGTAGCTCCTTGCTGTCTTTGTGGCATTCAAGTTCAAATTTAAGTCTCATTCGGATCGTTGCTTGAGTTCAAATAGCAAGCTCAAGTCGTATATCTCCTGTAGCCCTTTGCAAACTCAAGTCCAAAATATTTATTTCATTTAGGTTTGAATTCAATCAGTCTTTGTAGTATTTTAAGCTTGAATGAAAGTCCAAGTTTAGGTCAACTTGAGTTCAACTCAAGTCTTGCACAAATTCTTGTTTGAGTTCCTTGCTTAGTCATTTGAGTTCAAGATTGAGCTCAAGCTTACAAGTCTTCTACTTGAGTTTAAGTTCAAATGCATGTCTCCTGTTGTCCTTTGAGTTCGTGTCCGAGCTCAAAATGAGTTCAGTCAAGTTCTAATGAGAATCCAGGTTCATGTTCATATTTGTTTCAATTAGAATTGAATTCATTTGGGTTCAAGTTCAATTAAGTATTTGTTGCAATCCCAAGTTCTCCACATTCGAAGAAGTCCAAGTTCATCATTTTTTGTTCAAGTCCTTGGATATTCAATCCAAAATTCGGCAGCCTCCCGCGTCTCCCCCGTTTAGGGAAAAACCAAGAGCAACCATTCCCATCGACGCTACGTGAGCGCTTCAGGTAGTGTGGAAAATGACACCGCGGTCACGAATGAAAATTTTTATCCCCGCCTGCTACGTGAGCATTAAGTTTTTAGTTTGTTTATTATAAGAGAAAACAGGCGTTAGAGAAAAAAACACAGATTTCCCCCCTCTGCACCACGTGGGCGTTCGGGGTACTTATGTAAAAATAAAGAAAAAATAAAATAAAGACGCATTTTTTTATCCCCTTCGCCGCAAGCGTCGCACGGTTTCCCACCCTAAACGCTACTTGAGCGCCTCGGGGGTTTGCCGGCTCGTTGCAAGTTTTGAAGAGGGATCCTTAAATCGTCGCGAGCATACGCAACCGGTTTCCCACCCTAACGCTACGTGAGCGCCTCGGGGTT